TAGGAAAACACCAGGACAAGTAGCTGGAGGTGGGCAGGGGATGAAAGGCCAGCAATCTGCTGGTGCCTCTGTGGTCCTCAACAGTTAAACTCAAATTTACCTGTGAGACTCTGAGTTTTAACACCTGCAAAGTTTTAGACCACTAACAGAAACGGGTCAAAAGGGGCTTTTTCCAGACGTGTTTGGTTCAGGGTTTTTTTTTGCCTTTCCTGAAGTCTCTCAGCTCTCTAGAATAATGCAGAGAGTCGTTCCCTGCAATGAGGTACTGAAAGCTGCTGTGAAGAGGGGGAAAACGTTCTGAGGGAGGCTTGTTCTCAGTGAAGAGCGCTCGTTCCTTGTTCCTCACAGAACGAGCTGCATTCTTGAAAGTGAAACAAAGAGGAAAAGCTGTAGTTTAAGATTAACTTGTAGTGTTAAATTGCCACTTCCTGATAGGGTTTGGCCTGCAGGATGAGGGGAGGAGATGGGAAGGGTGTGGTAGGATGGACAGAAAATACCTGTCACTGCAGTGGGTGTACTTGGGTCTGTGTTAACCCAGGAATAAGATTTAAGGTATTATGACATTATTCTTTCTAGTTCCCTGTAGCAGATATGTCCGCTTTCCTCTTAGAAGCGCCTTGTAACACATTCTCACTTCCTTATCACAGCTTCAGATCAGGCTGTGGCCCCAGATCCTCTCTTCTGGGCGTGCCAGAACTCTGTCAGAAGTCAGTGCAATGGTTAAAATCTCTCACTAAAGACCCGTTTCCTTCATTTTTCCTGCTGAAGTTCAGGATTAGAATCTGCTCGTGCAAGGGCTTGAAGGGGGAGGTGTGTGTGGTTCTGAGAGCTTCCTTGGAACTTCAGGGCTGTGGGACAGCCTAGTGGACTATTTGGAGCTGAAGAGGAGTGGATGAGATATTAGTGTTTGGAAGCTAAATTCTGAAAACACCTGCCCAGTGAGCACTGGGATGTATTCCTTCTGTGTTCCTCCCTCCCCGCTGGTGTTTAAATGAGCAAAATGTCAATATTGATTCTGCTGTGACTAGATCATGTCAGGTTCAGCATTTCCTACCCCTTCTGCCACTTGCATGTGGTTGGCTAACTGGCACAAACACTTTGGTGGGTGCATTACCCAAGTCTTACCGGGAATTAATCTTGATCCATGTTCTGTAGTGTCTGAATCTTGTTCTAGATACTCTCAGGCAGAGATGAGGAAATTAAGTGGGTTTTGGAGTAAGTCTGGAGTTGTTTTTTTTTCATTCTTCAGGAGTGCTAGAGAATACCTGTGAGGGGGTTTCGGTCTTGTGTGATGGTGGTTAGTAGATGACAACTGAGTAGCAGCTCCTAGGCTGCTGGAATCATCTGAAATTGTTTGTGTTCTAACCTTTCTAAACATCAGTCTGCAATGCAAAGTGGCATTATGGCTCCTGGGTTCTGTTTACTTACACAAGCGGTGTGTAATCAAAGTGACGGTCATGCTCCTCTTCAGTAAAATTTCTAGGGTGGTAGAACAAAGACCTGGGATTGAGGCTGCCTGACTACCTGTTCACTGTAAACTTGCAGCTGACATCAGTGATTAAAGCTGATTCCAGCAGTTCCTTCTTGGAGACAGATGACTACCTGGTCTTGTCTGCTTTGGCATAAAACCTTTCCTGGCATTTAGAAAATCCCCACGTGCCTCCCTGTATAAACAACAGTATCTTAGAGCCCCACAGGTCCCTTGTTCCACAAAGCTTTGACCAGGCCTGTCCTAAAAACTTGATTTCTGGTTTTCTGCTGAACTGCTGACACGGGACGTGCACATAAGAGGAGGATGCTGCTGCACTGCTCAAAACATCCACAGGGCTGGTTTGGAGATGCCTGCGTTTTTTTTTTCTTTTGCAAGAGGCAGTTAAACTTCACATACTTGTCCTTTATCTCTTGGGCAAGAGGAAGTGACTATATCCCCTTCCTGGTGGAGAGGATTTGAAAGCCTCACTCCTACTGGCTGAACCTGCCTTGCCGTATGTGCTCGTCTAGTGAGATTTCTCTGAGGGTCCCAAGTATGACTTGCTTATGTAAATGGTGAGAAATAATTGAATGATTAACCTGAATTCCCACTGTCTCCTAAGTAGTGCAGAGAAGGCTCTCTAAACTGGAGGAGTTCATGAGTTTGAGTGTTCAGGTTTAAGGAGCAAAATTCAGTGGCTTCAGAAATGGTCGTGTGGCTCTTTGGGAGTAAATACCAGAATTAACTGGTGTGTCTTGTTGGACCCATTGCTGCAGTTGAACCCATTTACACAGATACTCTGTTGGTGTAGTTCAGTCTAGAAATATTTAGTTTTATTTGCTTTAAACCATTGCTGTACCCAGGAGCTGTCTCAAGCATCGCACTGTGTGTAACAGGCTGCACGTTTGGTTCTCAAACCCCTGTGTGGGCACCTGCTGTGTTTTAAAAGGTACAGCTTCCAAACTGCATTTGGAAAGGAAGGCACTATGTTATTGCAATATGGAGTGTCTTAGAAAATTAAAAACTTAAACTGCAGGGTTCTACTTAAATTATTTCCAAATTGATACCGGTCTAAGCATCAACCTTGCTTATCTCTGGCAAAAGTAGGTTTTTGTGACACAACACCAGTTTCTATGGTCAGAGACAGAGCTAAACCAGGAAAGGCTGTTTCCAGCCTGTTGCTGGCCCTGGTTTTGGTAGGGGTGAGGCAAATGGCTTAAGGCCACCACGTGAGCCTGTGGTTATCACTTGCCTCTGAAAATACTGAAGCCCTAAGTGAGGGGAGATCTGAATAGCAAAGATGTCAAACCCAGTATTTAAGGCTTCTGAGTTCCTGTTGTATTTACTTAACAATAGTTCTGTGTATAAGCTGTTATTCTTGTTTGCTTCTGAGCAGTAACAGATTTAATGGCAGGGTAGGTTTGGTTGGGAGCTGCTCATAGTGCTAAGAGTAACAGAGGAAGACAAGTTACTTGATGTCTGGGGGAACCTGAATTACTCTTGGAAGCAAGGGGAGGCTTTTAGGTGGATCTCAGACTCATAGCTGAAGCCTTACCTATACCAGGAAGGATTACTTTTTTTCCACTAATTTTAGTAAAAACAATGTAGTGCTAATATTCACATGTTAATATTCTTAAGGGGATTATAATGTGCTGCAAGCTGTAATACTTTCAAGTGTATTAGTGCTTGCTTTAAGTAATAATGTAACTTCAGGATTGCTGAAAATTCTGGATATGTAGGAAACTGAAGAACCCAAGCTTCCTGAGGCATCGTGGTGGGGGAGAAGGCACACGTGTAACAGTGGTCTGGGTCTTGCAGCTCTTGTACCTCACCTTGGTCTCCAGGTTACAGAGAGTTTCTGCTGCTCTTGGGGAACTAAACAATTAGTGGGGTTAAGAAGTTTTCTGATCAGTGTTTCAGCCATCTTGAATCTGTTGAGATATGTGGGTTGTGATGCAATGTGACTTATGCCCCCTGAACAGTTTCAGTTAACAACTGTCATTCCTCTAAAACCATCTTGCCTTGTATTAGTACATGACTTGACAGATGGAGTGGTGACTTCTGTGACTGTAAGCTGGTAGGTATCCTTTGATTATTCTTTTTTTAATACCCTGAGTGCTGTTAGGTTTACATTGTAAGGTTGCGTTTTTAAGGATCAGCTTATTAGTTGCTACATTTACCACTCCTGACTTCTCTCTAGCCTTGAGAGGAGTGCTTGGAAACTGGAGGTTTCAGCTGGGTGTGTTCCTGCAGCCTGGGGCCAGCCAGGGTGAGAGTCACTTGGGCACTGAAGCAGAGGAGTGGTGAAAAGCTGAGCAGTTGACCATCTGCTTGGCTGTTATCAGCTGGGGATGGATGCAGTTTCCTGGCTGGATTCCTGCCAGCCAGAGTCAGTGGCGATGCTGAAGAATAGTAGGTGGGGGACAGTTGATTTCAGGCATTTACGTAAACTTAATCTTTACTCAGCTTGGTTAAGTGGGCATAAAAATATGCCTGTTAAACTCTTGTGGTTAAATGAGAAGAGGACTTAAAACTGGCCACTACAGGGCTGGAAAGTTGTAAACTGAGCTAGCGTAGTACTTAAAAAGCAAAATAACTTGTGTTATTTGTGTTGTCTCTGCTGCTTGTTCTCTACTATGAAATTTCCCCATTAGTCTTAGGACTAACACAGAAACTTGTATTTTGCCGACAATGAAATCTTCACTACTCTTAGAAGTGTAAATCTAGGTTGGTCACTGATGACACTGTACTTCTTCTTTAATGTTGGGAAGACTCAACATTAGGCAAGAAAAGAATTGTCAACTCTTCCAGTGTGTCTTGAGAATTACTGATATCACACCTGACGTCCCCCAGAGATGTATCCTCATCTGGCAATAACTTTAGCTGTAATTCCTGAAAGGCAGGTGGAGTATTGGTCTCTGCTAATAAATAGTCTGTAGTGGAAGATGGATGTTAATTTTGCTTTAACAGGCACTGTAACTATGACACTTGGTGTTCATAGTTTGTATATTTAAATTGCATACTGTGCTGTTGCATTCTGTTGGAACTTAAATATGGGTAACTCAAACTGAGGAAAGAAATGGTTGGCTTTGGGCAGCTATGTTGTGAAACCTCTGACTCTAAAGATGCAAAGGTAATGGCTCTGGTGGGCAGCAGGCTGTCACTGCCACCTGCATGTTATTTGAGTTACTCACCCAAGCAGTGAGGCTTACACTTAATTGCAGAGCATGATTTTCATCTGTGCTAGACCACAAAGGGCTGGAGTAGGACTGTGTTAGTCTTGCTGATTGTCCGACTAATATCCCCAGAGTAACTTCCTAGGAAAGCACAGTTCCACCTAAAAATGCTGTGTTCAGAGCATCTACTTCACACTTCCCTTACCAAGTAAATTGTAAGTGTCTAAACTGGATAGAGGAGCTTGGAGTTGTAGGTGAATTTCCTAGCAGTGAATTAATTTACCCTTCTCAAACATCATAATACCCTGGCGTAAGGAACTTGGTTCTTGACAGTGTTTTTCATTAAGTGACCTAATTTTTTTTTTTCCCTCTGCAGTGACTATTTATTCAAGCTACTTCTGATTGGAGACTCCGGTGTTGGGAAATCTTGCCTTCTACTTAGGTTTGCAGTAAGTGATCATGCTTGAAAACTTTATGTAAAAAAGCTGCTTAGCAAGAACTCTCCTTTCAAGTAGTTCTGGTAGCGGGGCTGATGTCTGTCAGGTCTGGCATACCAAGGAATAAGTATAGTATTGCAAAGCCCTCCTATCTTCTGAATTTGTTTCTAGCTGATGTATTTGAGTAAATCGGAAAGAAATAATATCAAGACTGTGTCCAGTTAAGTTTAATTCTAATTTTCCTGTTGCTAGAGAACAAGATATCTTAATTTAACTTCCATCATTACAGTAGTGGTAGAACACTGAAGGTGGAAGGATATACTTGAATTCTGGGGTGTGAGCCTTCAGGCATGAGGGGTACAAATGTGTCAGGGCAAGACCTTGATCAGTTACTACTTGATAAGAACATTTTCTGCCAGATAAAATTTGATATCTGCATTGAAAAGATCTACCAGTTGTTTAGTCAGAGAAGCAATTGAAATAATAATCTAGGAATAACGAGGCCTTGTGCTTCCTTTAGTGAATGTTAAAATTGCTGATGGGCTGCTCTGGCTGAACTTTGATGCAAGAAGCTCAAGTTTTCCTGTCAACAAGAAAATTTAAAATGGGTTTGACAGCTCTTAGTAGAAAAAGCTGAAGTCCATTGAACTTCTTATCTGTGCCTGTGTCAAAGTGCAGCTTTATGTTGCCGTGGGAAGAGAGGAAAGAAGGGAGAATATGGGACATTAACTTAGAAACTAAAGTGTGGTGCTGCCACAAGGTGATGGCACCGTTCTCACAGCCTGAACAATTGCTCTGGGCACCTCTGGGAAGAGCCTGTTGTGTCATGTTATTAGTGTGAAATGGTGGTCTGGGGTGTGCAAATAGTCTCAGTCACAGCTGTCACAGCTGCTGGTGGTGCAGTGTTAGGGGAGGGAGGCACTAAAACCAGTGTGAGCAGGAGAAGGATGTCCCCTGCTCTGCTCACAGCATGGAGGCAGTGGATTGGAAGTGACACCACGGCTGGAGCAGTATTCCCAGAGCAGTCTAGCCAGCTTCTCTCACAGATACTGTTGAATTAATCCTGGCCTCATGCAAATAATCCAACTTTTCCTTTGTGATAGCCAGCTTAAATTTGTGCTCAGTTATCTGGTGTTTCTTCAACTAAGTAGCTCTTTCCTTTGGAAAAATGTGACTTTCCAACTAAGCTGTTTTACCCTGACATAAGGAATTACCACAGCATTCACTTACCTGTGTTCTTGCTGCTGTAGGTTAAACTTCAGGCTTTTCAAACATACCCTTCCGAGTATTGAAATGTTAAGGAAATAAATGTCATGTCATTCTTAAAGGCTTAATATTTCATTCTTACTTGGATGTATTACCCAAGATGTCTTCCATTCACAGCCCAAAGAAATCCCTTGTGTTTGTGATACCTACTGGTTGCATGAAAGCCTTTTGTGGTATATTGTGCATGAAGTTCTATCCTACAGGTACTTTAGGGATAGAAACTTCCTTTATTCTGACAAGCTGACAATCACTAGAAGGTAGCAAAGGCTGATCCAGCCCTTCCTGTGTGCCTTCAGGCCTGCTGGAGACTGCAGCCAGGTCCCTGCAAACTGCTCAACAGTTTTCCTTCCTGTATTGACACAGGCTGCAGAGCAGAGGACTCAGCACAAGTACCTCAGCTGTAACTCTAACCTGCCTTAGCAACCAGCTGCAGCAGCAGAGGATCTGAAATTCATGTGTGGAGTGTGACTGAAGCAAAGCCTCTGACTTGTAGGTGGCTGCTGTGTAACACAGATGAAAAAAACATCAAAGGAGAATAAAAATCTGATGCATTTTATTAACCACAGTGGTTATTCTGAGTAGCTCTTCAGTCTGCCAACTTGAGCAAAGACTGGTTTTTACACTACGAGTCACAAGGACTTAACACTGCAGGATTTCCAGAAAAAAAGCTTTTTTTGACTAGTTTTTGAAACACAGGTCTGGTTGTTTGTGGTGCGTTTGAAAAGCTTTTGCAGAATTTTTGAAAAGTAGATACTCTGTGGAAATGCATAGTTGCCTCCTGGATTTTGCCATGAGAGATCAGGCTGGTTTTCCAAGGAAATTAAGTACCCTTGTCTGCCTGGTACATAATGAAGTGGGTGGCTGCAGAAGAAGTGCAGCTGGCTTGACTTCTGTTCACTCTCTCTCCTAGGATGACACGTACACAGAAAGTTACATCAGCACGATTGGTGTGGACTTCAAAATCAGAACTATAGAACTAGATGGGAAAACAATCAAGCTTCAGATAGTAAGTAGTATTTCTCAACTCCTGGGTACTTTAAACTGTTTGAGCACAGAATTATATTCATAACTGTTGGCAGTTATCTTTGTACTTTAATCATTAAAATGTAAGTGATAGCTTCCCTGTTACAAGAGGCAAGGCAGTTTTCACAAGATTCCAGGACTTCCCATGACCTGTCCTTAAAGAAGGATGCTTATTATGTTTCCCTGAAAGAGGAGATTCTGTGCTGGAGTGCTCTCGTATCAAAATTGGTGTAGTTCTGCAGTTCTTAGCAAGGATTTGTGTAAGTGCAGGAATACCACAGAGTTGTCCAAGATGCCTGAATTCCACAGCAGCTGTTACTAGCAGACTGCACTGTCTAATGCTGGAAATTGCTTTTGTTGACCTGAGTGGAAAAACTGACACGAAGCCTTGTAACTGGTCTGTCTGCCTTAGCACTGGGCGGTGCTGCTTTTGGCCTTCACTTGGAATAAACAGGGGAAGAGACTTGGCAGTTCTTTAATCTTGAAGCACTCTAAAAGGGTGACTGGTGTAATGAAACCCAATATCTGTGCAAGGTCACACAATCCTTGTCAGCCACTGCTTCCAGCTCAAGCAGAGGCTCTTAGGACTCGAACAGCAATGACTCAGGGATTCCATGTTGTGAAGCAGGAGTCCAGCTTACAGCCAGAAGCCCGATCCTCCAGACTCCAGTGTAACTGTCCTGAGTATAGAGCGGCCCACTAGGAATGCTGTCACTGTTGAATCAGTCTGAGTCTGACTGTTTCTAACCTGCAGCCAGCCCTATTCTTGACACGGCTCCAGGGAGCTGTTTGGGCAAGTGCCGTTCCTGTCCTGGGTGGGGGAAGAGGTCAGGCACCTAATATCCCTCCTTAAGTCTCACAGCAGGAGAAGAGAACTGGGTTTGGTTTGAGTTGTTGCCTTTAAATACTTTTGCTGGAGCTCCTGTGCCAAGGACGTTGCAGGGAGTGGTCATGTTGGAGACCTGCAGCTCCAACCTTCTTTCTAACCAAGCCCTGGTTTGTGTTTGTTCTTCTGAGCACTGAACCATGACTTCTCCATGGGTTAAAACTGCTTCATGTTCTCCTCAGAGAGATCTCCTGGCCACCCTTGGCTGAAACCAAGGAAATGAGCACTTGAGAAAAGTGGCTACCCAGGTGCAATTCTCAGCTAAAATACTTGATCTCCTCAAATCCTGTTTGATGCACACAGTTTCAGAGCCACTTCTGCAGCTGTGATTTGGATGTGGTTGTAGTTGGGTGGCTGATCCTCTGAGCTGTGTTGCTGGAAGCTGCTGTGTAACTGGCACAGCCACACTGCGGTGACTGACCCTGTTACTTGTCTTGTAGTGGGACACGGCGGGACAGGAGAGGTTTCGGACTATCACTTCCAGTTACTATAGAGGAGCTCATGGCATCATAGTTGTGTATGATGTTACAGATCAGGTAAGTGTTAAAACCTGTGCCTGGAGAGTTTCTCCAGGCTGATAAGTAAATAAACCCAGGAATTTAACAACTGAGCACATCTTAAGGAGACAGTGGCACAGTCCTCCAGGCTGCACTGAGGTTTATCAAGCCAAGTGTATATATTCCTCTGCAGGGTTTGGGGCTGAACACAGAAATAAAATGAGCAGTGGGATTTGTGGCTCTAAAACAATTGTACTTTAGGCTTAACCCAAAACTTGCTGAGCAGGTAACTGATTGTTCTGTGTGAATACTTCTCACCCTGCCTTTGGTAGCAGGAAGTCTGAGTTACTGATGGAAGTTGTTGAAAGATTTCTGAATGTACTTGAACTTTGGTCTACAGTAAAAATGGGCATTTGGAACAGAAAATTGTCAGCATGTGTGTAGGACACAACTGAGCCAGTGTTTTCTGTGAAAGGATCTCTGAAGATTACTGGGGCAGTTGTCCTGTTGGAAGGGCACTTGGGAAGTGTAGGGTTTCTTCATTAATAGAAAAAGAACAATTGTGTTCAATTGCTAACTGGAATATTGATCCAGCATTTCTGCAGTCAGAGGTTGTTCCAGCATATCTACAACAAGGTGGTTTGCACCTGATACCTGGTGCTTTGTAAATTTGTGGGATTCTTCTGGTTTCAGCTGCGTGCTGTGTCTCTGCTACAGGAAGAGGAAGAAGAGTCCCAGATGGGTGAAGCTCTTGAATATTCAAGATACGGAGCTGGGAAAATAATAGGGGGGGAGGAGTGCAGGAAGGGCTGATTGTGTAGGGCTTGGAGCAGGAGCTGTGTAGACCATGTGGTGACTGGGCTGTCCTGAGGCCATCAGGGATGGCAGCATTAGAGAGTTCTCTCCCGTGCCTGTGAATCACATTGGTCAGGGCACTGCTTCCTGTTCTTTCCTGGTCATTACCAAAGTGCTGAACTTCCCTCTCCCAGGGCCTTGCTTACAGTTCTCTTATCTCACAGGAGTCTTTCAATAATGTAAAGCAGTGGCTGCAGGAGATAGACCGTTATGCCAGTGAAAACGTCAACAAGTTGTTGGTGGGGAACAAATGTGATCTGACCACAAAGAAAGTAGTAGACTATACAACAGCAAAGGTATGTGGATACAAACAGCTGTGTTTGCTTGGTGAGCACCTGCTTTGGTTCATAATGCACGGAGCTGCTAGAGCAGGGAAGTGCTGTGGTACATGAATGTCAGGGTGACACAAATGGGGGCAGTTGAATGACCCCCTGCCCTGCAGGTCAGACTGGAGATGGGGGGTGGGGTGGAATCCAGGAACCTGTGGCTTATCCGGCAGTGCACCAGGAAAGGAGGTGAGCTATGAACCTGTGTATGAGCTTACTGTTCACTGTTTCTCAATTTGCAGGAATTTGCAGATTCTCTTGGAATTCCCTTTTTGGAAACCAGTGCAAAGAATGCCACAAATGTAGAACAGTCTTTCATGACCATGGCTGCTGAGATTAAAAAACGAATGGGCCCGGGAGCGACAGCTGGTGGTGCAGAGAAGTCCAATGTTAAAATTCAGAGCACTCCAGTCAAGCAGTCTAGTGGAGGTTGCTGCTAAAACTTGCCTCCCCCCTTTTGTCTCACAACAATGAATTTGCAATCTGAACCCAAGTGAAAAAAAAAAAATTGCCTGAATTGTACTGTATGTAGCTGCACTACAACAGATTCTTACCGTCTCCACAAAGGTCAGAGATTGTAAATGGTCAATACTGACTTTTTTTATTCCCTTGACTCAAGACAGCTAACTTCATTTTCAGAACTGTTTTAAACCTTTGTGTGCTGGTTTATAAACGTGTAATCCTTGTTGCTTTTCCTGATACCAGACTGTTTCCTGTGGTTGGTTAGGATGTATTTTTGTTTTGATGTTTCTATTGGCATGTTTAGATGTCAGGTTTAGTCTTCTGAAGATGAAGTTTAGCCATTTTGTATCAAACAGCACAACAGTGTCTGTCACTTTCCATGCATAAAATTTAGTAAGATATATGTAAGATCTGATTTGCTAGTTCCTTCTTGTAGAATTATAAATGGAGAGATCACACTATCTGATTAATAGTTTCTTCATACTCTGCATATAATTTGTGGCTGCAGAATATTGTAATTTGTTGCACAATATGTAACAAAACTGAAGAAATGTTTAATAAATATTGTACTTATTGGAAGTAATATCAAACTGTATGGTGATAAATATTGTCTTAATTTGTATGGCTAAGGGGGAAATCAGGCTTGCATTGTGCACAAAACATATCTGTGTGTGCAGCCATGGCTCTCAGACCTCCTGATAGACCAGAGACCTTCCCTGCAACTCAAACCAGTGGCTGCGGCCCCAAAGCCTGAGCTGTCGTGGTGCTTAAGGCACGTGTGCTGTACTAGAAACACCCAGCCAATGTTCATGGAGGCATAATGCACTCTGAATGTACAACAGTTCCCTAACTTTAGTCTTGGAACTTAATTTATTTCTCAAGGACTCCACTTAGGGGATTCCCGACAGCTTTGCGTAGTAGGGGAGAGAACAGTATTTCCCTAACACGAGTGATTTCAGCGTAACCTGGAGGAGGTGTAACTTTCTACCAGTATATTATGTCTTTTCTATATACTGTTAATTCCATCCTCTTTTAATCAATACTCTTCTGACTTAGTGCAACAGCTTAGCTTCTATTCTGTTCTGCAGCGAGGCACCAGGAGGATGACATGGGGGCAGCAGGGCCCCCCACCAGACTGTTGCTCAAAGTAGGCGCTATCTCAAATAATTTGGAACTAACCAGCAGCCAAGAGGTTTTGGATGGTGTGTGATTCTTTGTACAGAGCTAATCAAATCATTAGTGCCTGATGTCTAGCTAAAAGCCACAGGAAAGCTAGCCTATAACACTTCCTATACATGTAAAATTGTTCAGCTTTATCTAAACTCAAATGTTCAGCCTATTCTGTAAATAGTCTCATGTTTGAAAGACCATGTAACATTCCCCTAGTAGTAAATACACCCTGTGATAGTAAAAATATAGCCTAGGTATGTTGTGAGGTATAAACTAAAACTGGTGCAAATATCCTCTGATTTTTTTTTTTTGGGGGGGGTGACTTTGGCTAACAGCTTTCTTCAACATAGTTGCATAAATCAACAGGCAATTGTAATACATAAAGTATTGTCATGGTTAAGTTGAACTCTTCCACTTGAGACCTTCACAATAAAGTGATGTGCTTTCTAGTAGAGATGTGCTTGTTGGTATAATTCATTATAAATGTGAGTGCCTGCTCCTCAAGAGCAGGAGCAGCAGCGAGTGCTGCCCAGATCAGGAAGCAAAGCAGAAGGAGGTTGTGTTGAGGGTAAAACATCTTCCCTTCAGAGAGTGCACAAATGAACTTCAATGTCGAGATGCCTGCTACATACTATCCAAACCAATGTTAATATATACAGTAATAAAAGCATTGCAAAACCAACTTGGGCTACACCAGGTGTTTGGTGGTTATTTGTTCCCCCCTCAGTCATGACTTTGCTGGTGCTGCTGAAGCTTGTGGTTTTCAGGCTGAGGTGTGAGGGCAGAGCAGGCCTAAGAGTCCTGGAAAAGGGCACTGTAGTCTCTTACCTGTGAGCTAAAATACTGAATACTTTTGACATAATGGGTCAAAAAAAAATTGCCTGTGAGGCTTAGGACACAGAAGATGGGAGAGTATCCAAAAAGACTCCAAAAACTCCAATGAATTATTTGTTGTAGGTGCTTCAGTTTACCTGTGCTTTTACCTTCTACTTGTGTTGTGTTCACAGGAATGGGTGGAAGTGATGCTTTCTGCACAAGAAAACCCCGCTCACCATTTAGTTTAAAGGTTAATTAAAGCCGAGTACCAACATGCTGTAACTTTGTTTGGCCACTTACCTCGTTGTGCTGCTTCAGAGATGCCCTTTCTATTACAGAAAGGGCGTGGAAAACCTTGATGCTGTTCTGTTAACTGCAGTAGCTGTAAGAGGGGAAACCAGCACAGCACCAACACAGCTACAGCCCACAGCAGGTGACACCAGATTATACAGAACCTGCTTCTCCCCGGCCTGTTTATTTTTTTATTGAGATTCGCTATTTTGGCTTGTGTTTATGCATAAGAAAATTGAAAGTTAAATAGGCTCTGCTTCAGCAGGGAGTGGTAAATATAAATAGACCTTCAGTTTGCTCCCAAGAACCAGAAGGAGTTGCTATTTCTTGGCTTCTGGCACCTATTTTTGACGAGCATAAACAAAACATGAGAACGGGGCTATTAAAATCACACGGCTTTACTTGGCAGGGAGCTGCATGGCAACACTATGGATTACTCAGTTAAAAAACTCTGTTCCTGACATTCTGCTAACACATGGAACAGGCCACTTCAATAAAGAAAGGAAAGCTATGTTAAAAAAACAAACCAGAAAAAGGCCAGCTGTACATTCCTTACACGACTCCAGGCGTCCCAGCAGCAGAGTGCCTGCTGTACCACACACCTTTCTCAAGCCCTGGTGGGCTCACTGAACACATTTTGGCATCTCTGCAGCAAGTGGTGGTGGAGGTGGTTTGGTGCTTGCTGCAGTTCTTCTCAGCCCTCCCAAGATGGGCTAACGAAGTCCAGGTCTGACAGAGGCAGCAGCATCTGAAATAAAATGGGGTGTTTGTTACTGTACTTTGGCTGCAGTTTAACAGAGAAAAACCTTCTTTGGCTACTCCCACAGTTATAGGGTACAGCTGGGTATAGGTATCAATTAAAAAAAAACAGAAAACAAACACTACTTAAGATACTATCCTGTTGTGAGAGGCTGACACTCCTGAAACACTTGTCTCTCCAGTTCTGTTTGAAGGAAGACAGTCAAGAAATCAGCAAACAAGTTTTATAGCCCCTATTTTACACCCGAATTCGCTTGCTTCCCTTTCCCACCATTATATGGCAACCACAATGTTTCTGAGAAAACATAAAGCCAAAAAATACCCCTTCCTCATCCTCCCTCTGCTGCTGCTGCTGTCCCCCCAACCCTCCCTGCTGGTTCCCTCCGAGGAGCTGCCCATTTAAAGGTGACGGGGCATCCATTTTGAGACCTCCTTTGCTTTCCAAACATCACATTCAAAGAAATAACAGTAGACCCTGACATGCAGTGTTTGCTAATTTAAGTGTTTCTCTCCCTACGCTTCCCTCTCTCTTCCCCCACTGCAGAAAGGCTGGTTTGCCCCCCTGCTTACCCATGGGGCAGCTTTGTGCTGCATCTCCCTCGTCCTCCACCTCGTCCTTGCCCTGCACAGGACCCACAGCAGCAAGAATGGACTTGTACAGGTGCTCTGCATGGCTTTCCAGCTCTTCTGACTGCTTTGCAATCAAACCTAGCGTGTCTTTCAGAGCTGGAAAACAAAAAACATGAATGGAGGTGGTAGTAATGTGGTAATTCAATGTCTGTAAGAGCAGAAAGAGAGAGTTCTGCTCACCCAGGCAGAGCTTTTGAAGGAAATGGAGTGTTAGAAATCAATAACCTGATGTTCACCCTGTCAACGTTGTGATGCAGAGTTTGGAGGGGGTGGGAAGCGACTTAGGAAGCTCCAGATTAATGAAGATGCATTATCTTCATTAAATAAGGGAAACCTTTGGGACTGGGTAAGGAAGCCCATCCATAACACAGCACTCGGCCTCTAAAGCCCCTCTGGTGACTGCAGGTACAGCCCACCCTCTAGAGAGCCCTTGTGCAGGATGCACCAAGTCACCAGAGAAACTGCTCCACACACACCA